AGCTGGGAAAATGGCATATTTTGTGTTGGACATACTTGTTATAAAGGACAGACGTAGAGTAGAGTCCAGCTAAGTTCTTTTATTTATTTACTTACTCCCTTATTATCCACTTAGTAACGATAATATGTCCCTAAATGCTTTACCGTTTAGTCACTTGGATGATAATGAATTTGCTGCGGTGATTTATGAATTCAGAAATGGACCTGTTCGTTTCGATCCTGAGAGACTATCAAACTTATCTATAAATCCTTTGACTTGTGATTTTGAACGGTTTTTAGTTCGGTCTGATGATCTTGACCCTGACATACATTTCAATATTGACGGTGAATGTTCTTATTATGTAGAAGATAAATTCAACGATACTGTCCAAAATGAAACCATGATCAGTCGTGAACAATCAAACCATCTTTCGTTTTTCCATCTAACATTCAAAGTCTTCAAAATAAGGTTGATGAATTATCGACTCTTCCATCCACTCTAAATACAAAATTTTCCGTTGTTGGGATAACTGAAACCTGGTTAAAGGATTCGTCACTTGGAGTCAACATTGATGGTTATAACTTTGTTTATAAAAATCGCTCTGCCAAAACAGGTGGAGGTGTGGGTTTGTATGTGTCAGACAATCTTGATTTTAGAATTCGCACAGATATTTATGCTTATGAACATGACGTGATGGAATCATTGTTCATAGAGATCATTCGATCCCATGAGAGAAACGTTATTGTTGGTATAATTTATTGCCCTCCAAATCAAAATGTAAATGATTTCGTGATAAGAATGAACGACGTATTAGGGAAAATATCTTGGGACAACAAAATATGCTACTTAATGGGAGATTTTAATTTGAATTTGCTGAACAATCTAAATCACAACGCCACTGAGGAATTTTTTGGATGGTCTGTATTCTCATCTGTTTTTTCCCTTTATTATGCTACCTTCCCGAATTACTTCTCACACTGCTACCCTGATAGACAACATTTTTTCCAATCATGTCGAGCATAGTTATTTGAGGTCTGGACTATTAATAACTGACATTTCGGACCATTTGCCAATATTTTCCATTTCCCTTGATCATGTGCGTACCCATCAACGCCAAGAAAGTTTATTTTTTCGTGACAAAAGCGAGCAAAATATATCCAGCTTCTTAGAGGAGTTAGATTGTATTGACTGGTCTAACCTCCACGGGTATAATGATCCTAAAATCTGCTATAGTAAATTTCTCGAGCGATACACTAAAACTTACGAAAAACATTTCCCTTTGAAGAAACTAAAACGCCACCTTCATCCGAGGAGGCCATGGATATCTCAGGGCCTTCTTAAATCTATGAAGCACAAAAATAAATTATACAAGCGGTATCTTCCAAATCCTTCTCCTCAGAAGGAACTGATATATAAAACATATAAGAACAAATTAAATCACTCTTTACGAATTGTGAAACGCTTATATTACGATAAGAAGTTAAACCTTTTTATTGAAATTTTATATGACGGCCCCAAAGAATTTTGCACTTAAAAATGGTAAAATCTCAAAAAATTGCCAAAATTCCAGAAGTCCTTGTTTCTTTCCTTGAATCCATAAATCTTTTCCCTCCATAACAAAAATTGCTCAGTATCTTCTTTTTACTGTTTTATGCTCTTTTTCCAAAAAAAGATAAACAAAATTTGACTTCCGTTTTATCCTTTTTTGTTTTTTCGAAAGAAGAAACACAAATAACGAAAAACGAAATTCGACTTCCACTTTATCGTTTTTCCGTTTATGTTCAAACAAACACAAAAAACGGAAAAACGAAAAATTACTTCCGTTTTATCGTTTTTCCTTTTATGTACGAGAAAACACAAAAACAGAAAAACAAAAATCGGCTTCTGCTTTATCGTTTCTTGGTGTTTAAAAGAACAGACACAAAAAACAGAAAAACATAAGCCGACTTCCATTTTAAGGGTTTTCGTTTTATGAAGGATCAAACACCAAAAACCGTAAAATGATAATTCACTTTTGTTTTCGTTGCCACTTAGGGCAGCCGACTATGTAGCTGCGCATGTGTTACGTGAAACGAATGCCACTCTTACCGGCCCAGAGTCCGCGGTAGGTCTGTTCCGTAGGACGGGCTGATCTGTCAGTGAGAGAACGACAGGCCTCCTGGCAACCACCCGCTGATTAAAAAGCCCGAACCACATTTTTGCGGTTCTGACTTATTAACAGCCTTGGCGCGTTATTCGCGGTGCAAGATCAATTTTTTTTTCAGTGAAGGAAAGAGCCGAATTATATAGCGAAGATTTGTGGACAGTCGATGCGGTTTTATTATTGGTAAGTGTAATAATTCAATTCAGCCGTCAATTTATGTTTCGAAGTGTTCTTTGTTAGAAGAATTTCTGACTTAATATTTTCAGATTTGCTACCTGGTGAATTTTTTCGTTGTTTGATCTTTTTCTTTCAGTCAGTCATGGACGTCAGAACTTTTGTCCTTTGGCGGGGACAACAAAGAATTAATTTTAATGAAGACGACTTAACAGCAGAGCGTATTTCAGGAGCGTTTAGAGTGAGAATAGCATCTCTTTTCAACTAAGTTTACCTTTAACATTTCTTCATGGAAGAGTATCGGGTTTATTCCCACGGCCGCAAAATTGTGGTCGAGGTGGGGGTGGGGGTAGAGAGAGACTGGCAGTTTTACGGGCAACAGGGTTTAATGACTTTGTTTTTGACATTTTTGCCTTAAAAAAATTAAAACTATTTACACGATATTAAACACTACCTGAATCTAATGTTATAAGGGAAGCTACAATCACCTCAGCAATCGCAGATGTAACCACATTATGAACATCAACACCAGTCACACGAGAATCATAACGCCGTATGCCTTTCGTAGCACAAAATCGCCTGACACTCCTTTCAGATAGTCCATTCACTCCAGGATGCTGTTGTCTTAAAACATCAGCTACTTCTTTGTGTGTTTTGCCTTCAACAAGCTCCTTCATGTAGCGAGCAGTAACTACGTTTTCCATCCCCGCCATTTTTGAAGGACCCGCGAAAAAAGACGCATACCACGGTTATAAAAACTCCTGACCAACAACATATAGACGAGATTCCGAAAGGAACCACCAACCCCCACTCAAACCCCCCCCCTCCCCGACCCCTTTTCTGTCCCAGCTCTTGGTTCACTTAAACAGCCACAGAAAAACGAAGAAAAAATATAAACGAAAAATTAGGTTATATCCAGGTCTTTCTTTCAGTGATTGGTTGTACTTAAAACGAAAAACGATAGAACGGAAGTCAATTTCCGTTTGTAAGTTTTTGTGTTTTCGTACATAAAGGGAAAATCGATAAAAAGGAAGTCATTTGTCGTTTTTCTGTTTTCATGTGTTTGTTCGTACAAAAAACGAAGAAAGATAAAACGGAAGTCCATTTTTGTTTTTCCGTTTTTGTGTTTTCTCGTACATAAAAGGAAAAACGGTAAAACGGAAGTCTTTTTTCTTTCTTCCGTTTTTGGTACATAAACGGAAAAACGATAAAACGGAAGTCGAATTTCGTTTTTCGCTTTTTGTGTTTCTTCTTTCGAAAAATCAAAAAACGATAAAACGGAAGTCAAATTTTATCCTGTTTTGGAAAAAGATAGCATAAAACAGTAAAAAGAAGATATTGAGCAATTTTTGTTTTAGATGGATAAGATTTATGGATTCAAGAAAGAAACAAGGACTTCTGGAATTTTGGCAATTTTTTGAGATTTTACCATTATTTTTAAGTGCAAAAATTCTTTAGCGCCGTCATATTATAAAATTTCAATAAAAAAGTGCTTTTAAAGCAAAAGCAATTTAGACACTTGTAACATTGTAAACGAATTAATCGAAAAAGATGTCAATTTCATATCTTTCTGTTAAAAAAAGGGTTGGCCGAACCGTGCACGGACCGAGCAGCCTATCCTTCATGTTTCTGAAACCATGTTCTTTGGTGTCTTTTTAGATGATTATCTGATCTGGAAGCCTCACATATCTCTATTAGCCAGTAAATTATCAAAATCCATAGGAATCATTCATAAATCTAGGTTTTTTCTCTCCACTCAATCTCTCCGTACCTTGTACAATTCAATGATACTTCCCTACTTCTACTATTGCAATCTAGCTTGGGGTGGCACCTATAAAGCAAACCTTCAAAGAATTGTAATCTTACAGAAACGTGCGCTAAGAATAGTGAACAACTCTACCTACGATGCCAACACTAGTCCCATCTTTAAGGAGCTTAAACTTTTAAAATTTCATGATATCCATTCCGTTCAATTAGGTTTTTTTATGTTTTCACTCAAGAACTCTACATTCCCTTCCAAATTCAATAACCTCTTTCTAATATACAGTCAAATCCATAATTATAATACTAGGAATGCCCACTTATTTCGCTTGCCACTATGCAGAACGAACACCAGGCAGTTCTCAATTTACTTCTAAGGTCCAAAGTTCTATAATTCCCTAAATTCTACTATAATTGGTTCGTCCTCCTCTGCTTCTTTTAAAAGAAAGCTTAAAGAATTCCTTCTCAGTACGTATTAGCTTCAGTATGGCACTAATTAGATCATTAGATTAATTAATTTAACATGTGAGAGTGTGTGGGTGTGTATGTGTGTGTGTGAGTTCGCGGTCAAAGCCATCATAAGCCCATATTGTAATTATATTATCAAGACTAGTTTATCCTTAGTTGAGGAGACCTGACTCATTAGAAGCCTCGTGGTTTCTCTCAGGTCTCCTCGCCATTTACTTTTTCTTTAATCTCATTATTCCAACCTTAAATTGTAAATTTTGTATATATGGCAAATAAAGAATGAAATGAAATGAGTTTTTCTTCCTTGATACATCCAGAAATGCGGAAGAGTGGGAATTTGAAGTTAGCGGTACAAATCAGTTAGCTAAAAGGCGAGCAGCTTACAATAAGGGGTTTGCCCTTCGAAAAGCACTTTTGGGGACCTCATCTACAGTAAATACAGAAATACCACTGAACCGATACTCATTTCTTTGAAATGTTAGAGGATGAGCTGTTACCCAATACTACCCTGGTCCCAGAGGTTTTTCTTGATTTTTCTTCGAGAAAGAGATCAAGAGGAAGCCGCGAAGCGGCGACAACGAGTCGCGAAAGCGACGAGAGAGAGAAAAAACCTTTGGTTACCTTGGCCTCGAATCTCACTTTCATGCGGACGACAGGGTCAGGATCTGACCCTCGGGCGTTGATTGGTTGATAGTTTTTCAAACACGCAAACCAATTTGATTGGCTCGTTTAATTGTAACTACCGAGGGGACGCTGAGGATTTTGACACCTCATTTTGCCTCTCTCTACTAGGGAAGAAAATTGTTTGTATGCTGCACTCGCAATAACATTTGCACAGGACCAAGGCACGTAAAGGCACGCCATATTTCGAGATTTTGACATGGATGTTGTTCCTGAAAGAATATTCGAAGAAATTTTGACCTCGGTACTTAATGAGCGCTTTCCTGAGTCTCGCTGAACAACAAAAGAAAGCTTTGTTCGCTGCGTTGAGTCGAAAGGATGTGTTCACCATTTTGTCAACCGGACATGGAAAGTATATTTTCTGTTACAATACTGTCATTCCATTAAATAAACTAACTTGTTTAGGGCAGCAAAATAAAAAATCTCCGAATACCGAATGAAAGTTTCCTTGTAGGAAAAAAAACATACAACTTTGTACAAGATTTTCCTGCGATGCCCAAAAAAGATCTAGCCAACGTTATTTTTGGCATAGATCTATTCGGCTAACTCAATGTTGTACCCAATTCAAATCTCCCGGGGATAAGATTCTTTGTGTATTGCATTTGCATTATAATGTGGCATTCACATTTAAATGATATGGAAAAGCCGAATAGGTCTATTGGGTCAACAAAAACCTCTGAAAGTACATTCCGAACATTAAGGGTTTGTTGTGCTGCATGACTCTTCCTAGCGTCGTTGTTCCACAAAAAAAGGAAATGGAGCCGCCAAACCAAAACGCGAGCCAGATTGCCAGAATACATATTAATATTACTACTTTGAAGGGAATGCCCGCGCCCCGCAGAAGCAAACAATGCAATAAGCGCGATTGATAGACTCTTGCAAACTTTACAACTTTCCGCTGGCACACTGCCGACAGAACAGATGACAGTGTTTGTGAAAAATCCTTGTTATTATACCCAAAAAAGTTGATTTTAGATCGGCAACTTACTTTTACATAAATTCTGCAAATCCTGCAGCAGTTGTTTGGAACAATGTTGGTTTCTTTATAAAGTGGTCGTCTTATTCCTGGACTCTTCTCGCCCATCGTTAACACATGCTTTAGCTTGACCCCAATTTACAAATCACTCTTTACCACCCAAGTGGAGATGGTTTGTTCATAACATAATTTCCCCAGGTCTACCCCCACTTAAAAAAAGCGGCTGATAAGCACGTGTTTGCTAAGTTGCCATTGGCCACTCCTTTTATTAGCAATTTGACGCGTTTGACAGCTGTTGTCTGCATGAAAGTGAGATTCAAGGCCAAGGTAACCAGAGGTTTTTCTCTCTCTTCTTGTCGCTTTTGCGACTCGTTGTCGCCGCTTCGCAGCTTGCTGTTGATCTCTTTCGCAAAGAAAAATCAAGAAAAACCTCTGGAACCAGGGTAACCCAATACAAGAGTTGAGATGAATTTTGAGATTGAGTCAGATGGTAATCTAATTTGGCAAGCCGGAGCTGCTTGCAGGGTGGCTATCACTAGGATGCAATCGTATGTCCCAGGAATAACCTTCAATAGTGAGGGCCAATCATCCTATATGAGTCAATACCTTAAAAACCACAAGTGGACTTACTTGAGAGAGAATATAGAAAGATCAAATAGTAGCCAGCAGAGAGCTGGGCATTTCAGAATCTCTTCTGGTATTTCGAAACCCCGACACATGTTTGTATTCATAACCAATGATGCGAATATCAATGCCCAGACAGAAAATCCATTCTTGTACAACACATTCTCGGTCTCAACTGACCCAAGAACCTTATCCAATTGTCACCTCGAAGTTGGAAACGGTAACGAATACCCAGAGATACATTACACACCAACTACTGATATAACTAGAGTCTTCAGGGATGTGTTGAAATATGTTCACAAAAATAATGAATACGGTGAAGGGTCATTACTCAATAAATCTAATTTTAGTGCGCTATTCCCCTTCCCATATTTCGACTTAACAAAGCAGAAAATGGACTTTAAGGATGGCACTACAAAACTGACATTCAAATATGAGCTATCTGGAACAGCGGCAACAGCCTACTCAATTTACGCATTAACACTATATGAGCAAGATGTTGAGCTAATTCAGAAGGATGGTAGAATAATACTAAGATCGTAAATTATGTAACGTATATTATATACAAGTTATGACAAAATATTATCCTTATGGCATGTCACTTAGTAAAGAACAATTGGAAAAGCTTTCAGAGCTTAAAATAATAATTCAGCGATAACCATCAGACTTACCAGAAATGAGTTATCCCGACCACATGAATTAATGCTAACAAAAACTCAGATCAATAAATTGAAAAAAGCAATAAGCCAGGGTACAGGATCGGATATCAAAATATCAAAAACACAAATCAGAAAGGCTGTTAGACAGGGTGGTAGTTTGTGGGGATCATAAATCAGTTTAGGAAGCAAGTTGCTACCTATGGCAATGCCATTAACCAAAAAAGCTATCGCACCCAGGGTGCAAAGAAAATCATGTTCACAGCTTGCAATTCGGGCAAGCTGAAGCTAGCATTTACTAGCCCAGACATCATTTCAACTAGCCCCAAAAGCTTTTAGACGAGCAGAATTGACTTCACAGTTCTTCTGTTATTCGAATTCCTCAAAAACATCACTTGCCCGTCGGGCAAGTTAAAAACAGAAGTCACTAGTCCGATAGGAAAATCCACTAGCCCCGGGCTATCGGACACTACTTTCTTTGCACGCTGGCACCACTTGCAACAGGTGCGCTATCTGGATTAGCCAGTCTCGGTGTGGATAAAATATTCGGAAAAGGTCAACGAGGAGGTTTTCTTATTCCAATAGATAAAATAGCACAATTGGTTGCATACAAGCATTTACTGACCACAGGTCAGAAAAAGGATATTCTTAAGGCTCTCCAAACTGGAAACGGATTGGTTATCAGACCAACAAAAACACAGAGCAGCGGATTTCTTGGTACTCTACTAGCGAGTATAGGAGTCCCTCTATTACTAAACGGTAATAGAGTATGGTATGAGAGTAAAAAAAGGAAAGGGAAAGGGACTGCTACTAGGCAAGAACAGCCCATTCAATTCAATCCCAATTCTAGGAACAATACTGTAAGATTCATAAACAAACCGTTATCGAACATTGATTTGTTACAATGGGTTACACAATTGGGAATTAAATATTTCAGGGGTATCTACAGCCGTGATAATTTACCAGACAAAATACTCAAATTGAAAACTGGAATAATTAATTTGGATGATTCAATGGGCGGGGGCAGTCATTGGATTTGTTATAGAAACGTGGATAAGCAATATTGTGAATATTTTGATCCGGTCGGATTAATCATGCCCAGTGAAATCAAAAACTATCTGAAAACATGCGGTAAAAAAATGGTGTTCTCATCAGATGAAATACAAGAAAGAGACAGTGTTTTATGCGGTTATTGGTGCTTATATTATCTTCTAGAGAGACGAAAGGGTAGATCATTATTAGATGTTATACATAACCCCAAATTCGGTTTCACAAATCAAATGATAAATCACCAATTTCTGATAAACTATTTTATGTAATCCTATTATATAGAATGTCTGAAAAGTTCTGTGTTTATTGTCAAGAAGTTACTCCACATTATATGAATCAATATGGATGTTCCGAGTGCTGCAACTGTGAACCCTTGAGTGAGAGTGATTATGAGTCAGATAGCAGCCATGATACTTATGTTCCAGACAGTAGTGATAGTGATTAGATAATAATTATATAACATAAATATATAATAATGGTGAAATCTTATTGTGTTCAACAGAAGAGGCAAACAGAATGTGTAGAACCTTCGGGTTACAAAACTGCCAAAAATGGTAGACTTAATGTTTTGGTGCACTTGTGCTGAATGCGGAATTAAAAAGTTTAAATTTGTAAAGAAGGGAAACTAGATCAGCCTGTCCTAGGGGCAGGCGTAATGGACACAGTGGCTAGTACTGCTCTTGATGCGTTTGTACATCACAGGCTTCCTTGGATGGGTAAAAAAGCAGTTGAGATGGGAAGATATTACGGGTCAGAAGCGCTCAGAAACCCTACATTACAGAAAAAGGCTATAGATTATGCTTTGGACAAATTAAATTCAATGATTCAGAATGTCGGTTCTCAAGGGGCAGCACTAAAACAAGGAATCCGGAATCCGGAATCCGGAAACGGGAACGGAATCTGGGAAAGAGGGATCCAAGAGATTAATTTTAAAATAATAATAATAACAATGATAATGATGATGATAATGATGATGATAATGATGATGATAATGATGATGATAATAATAATAATAATAATAATAATAATAATAATAATAATAAATAAGACAGAAAAGATAAGACTATAGATTTCCTGGTCAGAGGAGACTACTCTTTATGACATGAGGACTGGAATCGATGCAATTGAAAATGCAAATTCCCATGTGACAGCAAAGATAATAAAGACGGCTGACAGTCCGGACGCATCAAGTCCGTTTTGAAAGAGGTAAGGGAGGCACTTTTTGTTTAAATCAACAGAGACGTTGTTTAAGTAACTGAAATGCATCGTTTTTCCAAGGTGTCACTTCTGGGTTGTCTTCAGTTTTATTTACATTTAAAACTTTGATTTTCCTTTGGCAGATCGCGTCATGGTGATGAGAGGACAGCAACTGATAGTACTCGGTAAGCTGCTACTTTAACTTAGGTATAGGTGAGAGAAAGATTTTTTGTTGATGTGAATGAAATTCAGCAATACCTCCGGTGTTAAATTCTTGTCTGTCAATCACTTCCCGTATAAATTGGTCTCTCATCAATCGTCTCGTAGAAGCGTTGAATAGAATGCTATGGTTATGTTGTTGATGTACCGAGAAAGTGCAGTTCTGCAAGCTCATTCTATAAAGAGGTTCAATGTGATACGGCAAAGCTTTAGCCTGCCTAATACTTTCTGAAAAACTGTGCTACGTACAGTTTGACCACAAATGACTCAAATTTCGCCATCAAACGTTGCCTCTATCTGTTAGTTTTAGTTTAACATGTTCTAATATTAAATTCCACAAATGCTGTGCATTCATTTTCCGCTCTTTTGGTGCGTATCGTTTTATTTTGTTGTGCTTTAGTTTTTCTAGCTCGGATTATATAAATAAAATTCGAACTGACGCTTGTGTATTGATTGATTGAAACCGGAGATAAAGACAAAACATGGATATTTTTGGACGCTTGCACCGTGAGAACACTAATTTCTGATTGGACGATACAACCAAAGAGAGAAAAAGGAAGAAAACACGTGTTACCAGCATTGGTGGAAGTAGAACGTGCCGCGAGAGAACGCGTGCGAGCAGGGCGAAGCCGCGGAATGCGGAGGAAAAAGAAGAGCTTGCTGCGATCTCTTATAAATTTTCATTTCGGCTTCACCCATACGAAGTGAAATAACCTAACTTTTCTTTTTCCTTGCACACGCGCCTCTTTTCGCGTGCGGCTCTTGGGTGACTTCTCGCTGCTCCCTTAAATGGCAGGACTTCATGTCATGGACCAATAAATTCGCTGGATACACTTTCATACACCTACCCTGTTCACTATAGATATCGTGGAGTGCGCGTAAGAAAATAAAAACTTTGATAGATTGACTGCTAGCGCGAGGGTTAGGGGTAGGTAAATGAGAAAATATAGAAAATATATCTCTTTTGTCTTTCTCCCTGGCGCTTCACGCACTTTTCGCACGCATAATCTGGAGTCAAGCGCATTTAGAACAACCTAGCGAAGTTCGAGAGCCGGGGCCTACAGAAGGAAATACAGCGTGGAAAATCTGGAGGAGATACATCACTTAGCCGGGACTCAAAGGATATCTGACAGGGAGACACTATGTCACAATGCCATGAAGACTTTTCCCTCACGGAGCTTGAAAGTATTAAATTAACGCATTTTCTAATGGTTTTTGTTCTTGTTGTTCTCGGTCGGTATGGTATAGGGTGTCAAGTCCTTCTTTTTAAGAAGGTGGGTTGCGACATAATATTCAGAGATGAAATGTGTACAACTTTACGATAAAGAGTGACCCTTGATTTGAGTTTCGTGAAGTACAGGTTATACACCCCAAACTAAAATAACAAACAGATTTGCGACACAGTACGTCTGCAGGTATTTAGGAGGCTAATTTCTTGATTTCATTTGGGTCTACCGAGTCTACCATTTCCAAGCAGCCTCATAAAGCTTACCACTACTAGAAGTGATTTCCTCCATAATCCTCCTGAACTCCAATGTGCTGCTCTGCCTTGTTTTTTAAGCCACCAGTAATAAACGCACTGGCAAAATGGTTGCTCCTTAACATCTGTGCCATCGTCTGCCAAAAAAAGAGTGGTAGAGACGCGCTTATGCTTTCGTGATTAATTTCTTTCTTTGCGCCATTTCATAACATTACATTCTGCATAATTATGTCATTCCGCGAGCTATGCCACATGCCATTCCACAAAGTAATTCCGCCTTCTTTTGGCTTGTTTCCTATTTTCTCCTATTTTTTTCTGTTTTTGTAGTCAAAGTTCCTATTTTGTCCTTCTTTTTTTTTAAGCAATGTCTTTCCTCTTGTCCTATTTTCTGAGTGTCATTTGCCACTTGACACCCGGAAGGTAGAAAAGTAAATTACTTCACGAATTTCAGAAATTAGCGCTAGTCATTTCGTTCATTCATTTTACATTTATTTTTACATTATTTTACAGACTTGCTGCTGCAAGAGAATTGTGATGACCTGGAATTACATACGGTAAGCAAAATAATCTTAATTTTTAGCCTTCGCAGTTCACGTGGTTCTTGTAGTGAGCTGCATGCTTACAAATATACATGGTTTAGGTTTACTCTCTCGAGAAAAACGACTACTGAATACTGATGCCTCTCCTATCTCCCTCCTTAGCGGCCAGCTCTTAATGCTACCAGCATTGTGAAACCCTGTTTTAACTGACTTAAACTCTGTAATGTAAAGCTCTCTTGAGCAACCACGGCACACCTGATTGTCATAGTTTGAAGTACGCATGCTATGAGAAGGAATGAAGGAGAAGAAACATCACAGGAAATATTTTCAGAGAAAAGTGCTAACATACTGTGCCCAAATTTACTTTTGTCCACAAAAAAAAAGAAGAAGAAAATATATATCATATAAATATACTCTTAGCTATAATGCAGGTAATAGTTACTCACATGACATGTGTGCAAAATATGATATAAACATAATGGGAATGATAAATGAGACCTCACAGAATGATCAGAAAAAAAAAAGCCTCAGAGATCTGACCATGATGAAATACCATTGTCTCTTGCTAGAACCCATTCTCGTAAACGACCGCTCTTTTACGAATTCCCACGGTGGACAATTTCTTTCCGGAGAAACTGTAAAAACGGATAAGATACAAATAGCGTACAATTTAAACTTCATATGTGCTGAATTCCGTTAAAAAAGTAAGGGTTATCTCAGCTCTGGAACTGAGCCTTCGTATGAGTAATCAAAGCAAGCGTTTTGGTGATGTCTTTTTATCTCTTTCCTGAAAGGATAAGACTCAAGGCGAGACAGGAATTTGATCTATTAAGTAAACTCGTCTGATAAGGTTCGTACAACCTTGGAGAAAAGAGTCATGTTGGTATGTCATGTATTCTCGTTATAAGAAGGGGTCCACAGTTTTGTACCCCTCGAGTTGAATAATAACTATACCTTATTCGACGGTTTAGTGTGTAGTATCGTGGGATATTTTTAACCGTCTCTTGTATTATCATTGATTCTGTTTACGTTTACGTTTCCGGATTCCGTGTTTTAGTGCTGCCGGTTCTCAAGCTCTTAACCCTTATTCAACCAAAATACGACCAAAGAAAAACTACAAAACAAACAGGAAAGATTTGGAGGGCGCTGGATTACTTGATAGTGCATTAACATCAGGTGTATTTGGATCTCCGTATCATGTGGACTTTAAGAAAGGATTCAAATTATTGACTGACCCTGATTTGCTCAAAACACCAACCAAAAAAGAAATCACTGATATGAAGGAGCGTGTGAAGTACTACAAGGAGCAATACAAGAAAGCTAAGGCTGATGGTTACAAAGGGTCGTATACAAGTTACATAAAAAAGATGGGTTGGGCAGAAAAACCATCTTTTACATTCCCAGGATTTGGAGGTGCTATAGATATCCATAAACAGATTGGAAAATTACCAAAACCAAAAGGTGGATGGACCTTACCAGGCCATAAATACACAGGCCCCTACAACAATCTCGAAAATCAAGTAGGATACAATCCAGAAACTGGTGAAATATTAGAAATTTATGATCAACGAACTGGGCCAACCGACGCAGTGGCCATGCAGCATGATATTGACTATAGTGTTTGTGGTGATAACTGAAAATGCAAAAATAAAGCTGACCGTAATATGGTAAAATCATTAGAAGCCATTCCCTATAATGAATGACAATGGGGTCACTGGTTAGCTAGAAATCTAATAAACACAAAACAGAAACTCCGTCTTGGTTTAAACTAGAAAAGCCGTCGGTATTAGTTGGAAGCAACAATTAGCGGACGAATTGCATAAACCCATAAAACGCAACTTTACTCGGCGGCGCGTTATTACAACCGGTATTGACAAAATCTGGTGCTCAGAACTCGTTAATATGCAACAATTCAGCAAATGGAACAAGGGTTCCAGATATCTTCTCATGGTACTAGATCTATTCTCCAAATATGGCTGGATTGTCCCATTGAAGGATAAGAAAGGGGAAACTGTCACAGAAGCATTCAAAACTATCTTCAAAGAGGGACGTAAACCACAATATCTTTGGACTAATAAAGGGAAAGAGTATTATAACAAAAATATGAAAGAACTGTTGGAAAAGAATGGCATAACACTATAGTCAACCGAGAATGAGGAAAAGTCTAACGTACGTGAATGATGGAACTGTACAATTAAAACCAAAATGTGGAAGCAGTTTACTGTCCAAGGTAATACCGTATATTTAGACATACTACCAAAAATATTGGAGCAATATAACAATACCAAACACAGTGCCATTAAAATGACACCTGTAGAAGCTAGTAAGAAGGAGAATGAAACTGCCGTATATTACAATCTCTATGGTGATATGAAGCAATTGACACCTCAGCCCAAATTCAAGATTGGTGATAAAGTTAGGATAAGCAAGTACAAGACAAAGGTGTTTGATAAAGGGTACACACCTAACTGGACAGAAGAGATATTCCTGATCGAGAAAATCCAATCGACAAATCCAATCAGATACAGATTAAAAGATCTCAATAATGAGGAAATACAAGAAGAATTACTACCAGCAACACAGGACGTATTTTGCATTGAAAAGGTGATTCGGAGGGATTATAAGAAGAAACAAGCTCTTGTTAAGGGGTTGGGCTATAGTGACGACTTTAATAGTTGGATTCCACTAAGCAACCTGCAAGAATTATCTAACTAATAGTATATGGATGATCATATAAGAAAGCTTGATACTAAAATCCAGAGTAAGGAAACCGAGCGGCGAAGAGTAAGGATAACCCTAAAGGGTTATTTTGTTGGCATACCCAAAATGGGGGACGGTGGGTCCAAATTGTTGGCGTGGTAAAACGCCACCTCAGGTCTAATGTGCTAAAACGGCACCTCAGGCCTAGCATACTTTTTAATCTATCATTACAGGGTTATCCACAGATTATCTAATTAATTAGTATATGAACGCTGACCAATTATTAGACAACTATAATGAACTCCAAAAAGTGCAATTACAAAATAATCTGAAAACATTTACTCTCAAAGAGCTCAAGAAAGAAATCATCAAAATGAAAGCCGATAAGTTTGCCGTAACGAAAATGAAAAGGAACCAGATTATTGAATTAATTGTACAGTATCATTATTTATTTGCCCATTTATTGACGAATCAGGGGACTAAACGGACTGCCAAAGGTAAACAGCCTACAGTAAAGAAGCAACCAAATGCCCAATTAATTAACCAGCTGATTAACCCCACGTATAACCCTGCCACATTGAAACAGATAGCCAGCCTTGTATTAGCTAAAAATACGACAAAACCGCCACAACAGACAACAACACAGCAAAATATTGATAGTAGTGCCCCGGCGCTCAAAGGAATTCCACTCAATATTTTAAACCAATTATTTAATAAATCTTACTAACTGACTAAGGGCGCCCTAATCCAACTACCTAACTATTTGACTATTTAACGGCTCGCTTTTTCTATATTTTTCATCATTTCAAGTATTATTTCGTCATCTGTTTTTTGCTTTTTCATTAATTTATTACGCAATGCATCGATATTAAGCTTCAAATTGTTATCTTTATTAGGATCCAATAATTTTTTGCGCATTACTATTGCATAAATATCCAATTTTTTGATAAATTTTGATTTTGCCATTCTTGGCCGATTTAAAAGTAACGTTTTTGCTTCATTATTCAAATGGATAAATTCATCCAACTGTTCTTTTTGCTCATTAGGGGGCATACGAATTGACCACTTTCGCACGACGACGCCGTTGGACTGCATGACGGGCTTACTGCGCATGCTTATCTGGGCACTTTCCGGCGTCTCCCCAAAGTCGACGCCGTTGTTGACAGCGATTCGCTGGCGTCCTAGAAAAAGCAGGACGCGAGACTAATTTTCAAAGTTTTCCCTACATACTTCAGGGGATTTTTCCAGATAATTCAAGTATCACATTAGGGACATGTTCTTTACATATGTTTTCTATTTGTTTGTTTGTTTTCATTGGAGTAACGACCCGAAGAATCAACATCATAGCTAGCTGTAGACAAACATAAATTAACACCGAGTGAAACCACATTGGCAAGATGGTACCAAAGCTGGTGGTTGAGACCGTTGTCTCATCACAGTAACTACAGCTGTTCAGCAAGGTTATAAATGCTCCACCTGTATATAAACGCGCCTTGCATTCGTCCTTTGTTGTCTCGTCTAAATCCGTAGTTAACTCTGAGTTTGTTGATGAAACGCATAAAAGTACAAATGTTTCTATAAGCGTCTACAATACGAGCTCTCGTTTCTCTTATGAATTTAGACATTTTGGTTGAACAAATAAGCTTACTTGTGAAAAGAAAACAAACTTCAGAAACGGCGGGAAAATTTTCCTGCCGCGCACACCAATGTCGTCGTCTATACCACAAATCAAAAATTCACATTTCTACAAGACGGCAACACAGAACTATGACGTGACCCAGCGGCGGCGTCGTGCGAAAGTCGTTGATTCGTAAGCTCCCTATTATTATCAAATTTAGCGCTCTCCCGTTTTTCTTTTTCCTCAAAAAATTCATCTTTTTGGCGATCAATTTGCTCCTCTTTTTGCATAAATTCTATATCGAAATCTGACTCAACCGGTTCTAACCGGATTTGCCATTTTTTGCGGTCATACTTAGCAAAATGGCAGCTATTAGTTACAAATTTTTCCATAAAGTTATTTGAAATTCTGTCCCAGCTGGTTTTAACCGGTTTAATCTTCTAATTAATTCATCATTTTCATCATCCATCTCGCTCCATTTTTTGTCATTTTTAATTCTTTTTTGGGGATTTTGCTTAATTATTTCAATTCGCCATTAATTTATTATCTTTTTTGCCTTTCTCTTGGTTTTCAGTTGGTAAACTACTTTGTGACTCAATTATTTTGCACAATTTTTTTATTGTTTTAGCAGTAAATTAAAATGGTCAAATAAATTTGACTTATTATACCCTCCCCCCCTTTATCAAATCGCAAATTTGTAGATTTGATTGAACAAGAATATCGCAAAGATCCAAAATCATATTAACAGTGTCCTGACTCATTACTATATAGAGGCGTCTTATCTTTAAGTAGCTTTCGTTTTGTCCAATTAATTAGCAAAAATAACCAGTCCAAACCGCCTCAAACCAGTCTCAAAAATGCTGACATCAGCAAAAATCCCAAGGTCAAATCCAGAATATAGGAATGTGCTGGTACCGCCATGTCCTATACTACTCATGTGGAATGTTATGTGTTTCATAGAAAAGCCAGTTACATTGTATGCTATAAGAGGCAACATTGTTCATTAATTAATATGTTTGTTGTTTTGTGGCCACCTTGAAATTTCCTATATATTTTATTTTTTTTCTTTGTTAGTTATAACAGCAATGTTAAATTATTAAGCACCAAAACACTTCCCAGTAGTTTTTAGAAGGAAAATAACCATTATTAAAAAATTATTTCCTGGTTTTGCACTGCGCATCTCTTTCTGCACATAACAAGATGGCCACCGTAAAAAAGAGCATGTCAAGTAACAATATTAAAATGAAGCCGACTGAAGAGAAACGCTATTGGAATTTTTGCTTGCGGTAGTAACGAGAATCTCTTAGCATCTATGAAGTCGTTGCTTGATGACTCCTTAAACAAGCTGAAACATTTGCATGTAGACACCGCAGATTCCCACCTCAAAGAAATAAAGAAGCTTAAGTTCAATGAGCCTCATCGGTTTAAAAAGAGAGGTAACGAAGATCGATAACGATTCAACCTCAAAGTTCTGTTCTGCCCGTCAGTTTGATAAAGTTCACGCTTCGCTTGAGAAAGGTGAGAAGTTATTGACTGAGAGGCAGAAACATATTCTGCTTGCTGAGAAGTCAGACTTTGTGTGGTCATTCACTCGGGAATACAAGCGTAACGATCTTGCAGAGGATTCCGATGGCGAGAAGAAGGTTATCAGAGCAGAGGCTAGGGCATGTACCCAGGTTAAACAAAGCGGATGTTTGAAGTCAAGGCCAACAAACAGAAGAGAGCACACTGCATTAACGACAGCCATGGCCACTGCTTCTAGCCAGTGTAGTGGCAAACCTATTCCCATAGTGCATACCAGAGCACCACAAGCCAAACCAGGTTCCTGTTTTGCCTGCAATAAACCTGGACATTGGAGGGCCCAGTGTCCTTACACTGCAAAGTTAACCACCAGTCATTGACTAGCCACCAACGATGCAGAACATTTTCAAGGTGTGGACAATTCCACTGTTTCAAATAGCTCTAGCGACATTTCTGACGATGATCTTTAAAATTCAGATCACCCTGATAGGGCAGTAGAAATAAGGTCGCTGCTAAATTATGAGTTTGCTTCAGGGCAATATAATAGCCCTTTGGTTCGTGGTCATTTGTCTTTGTCCTACGATCAATGGGTGAAATAAGCGAGGTTTGAATTAAGCATTGTCTGCGACGGTTATAAAATTCTGTTCGTGACTCTTCCACCTCCTTAAGTTAGTCCTAACAATCTCTCTGCCAATACCCATGGTCATTTTGTTTCTGAGACTGTTTCCAACCTGTTAAGAACTAAGTGTGTTGAGATTCTGGATTACAAGCTGGATATTGTTAATCCACTTTCTGTCTCCACTCAGCCTTCAGGCAAGAAGAGATTCATTAAAGATTAAAGCTCTATACTAAACAATGGATGGGCAAGCAATTTCTTTGAGTTAAGTCCAGGTGTTAGACAAGGCTGCCCCCTATCGCCTTATCTCTTCATACTGTCCGTAGAAATACTCGCTGAAGCTATTCGCAATAAAAAAGAAATACAGGGCATCAATATCCATAATACTGAAGTTAAAGTAAGTCAATATGCGGATGACACGACACTCATTTTAGATGGAGCTGCAGAATCAGTAAGAGCGTCACTGCTACTGATAGAGGCATTTGGGAACATATCTGGCCTAAGGCTGAACAATTGGATAAAGATTTTGGCAATACGTTGAATGTCAAGTTCAGGCGATTGACAGCCTCCGGCAGACCGCTTTTGGGGGTTCCTAGACTGGGCTACGAAAAGACCACAATTTCAATTGAATTCAAATATCATTCCACCTAAAAAACTTCTTATCTTATTAAAAGGGGTTTAATCACATACTGAGTGGTCGTGTTCTTGAATTGATCCCAACCGAAATGTTTTAAGGATTTTTAAATATTTACAAAATTTTAAGGCTCTTACGAGAGCAAAATATTGTCACATTTCAAAGGCCTAAAATCACATCTGATATATGATTTCTAACAGAAAAAGACATTCCACGTTAAAAAGCAATCTCTAAGCTTTCAAAACTCTGGGCAACACATAAAATGAATTTTTCGGAACACAAAATTCACAAAGCACTTGAGTGTAATTTGACCTTTCTGACTCGACAGTCAAGAGGTTCAGCGCAACACAAATGAATCCTGCAACAAACGTTTCACCCAAAATAGGTTTAATTTAAGCAATCTCAAGTCCCAAAGTGATACAAAGATGCTTCATATACATTAGGTGGAAAGTTTCATGCCATTTTGTCAGCTGTAAAGAACTATTACTCTGGCGTTCAGGTGCAGTAGTTCAGTTCAGCTCGGTAACGTAAACATGTGCATCAAGTTCTTATCACGAAACAGCGAAGTTTTCAAAATCTACACCAACTATCTATCCTGTCTAGTATATAATCAGGTCTACAATTTGTTTGTTTGTACCTTGTGTCCTTGTTCGACTTCATTCCCACAATGAAACTGAGACATGCAAACTACAACAAAATTCCCGCTTGCTCGACATGTCATGTGTCACATGAAAGGGACTTGATTGCGTTATATAAACATGACACACAGCAATTATTCCTGAGTTGTGAAAAAAAAATTCCATTTCTAACTTACATGTTGAAGATATGCCATTGAATGAACCGACAATCTGATTTTTTTTTACCATGCAGTTTTACCAGACTTGTCGGATTCGCGACAAAACCAAACAAATCTTAGGACGGGTAGAAATCACCCAGCGTTCATCCCTTTGTGCCCCAGGCTACGTATTTGTTTAGCACATGGAATTTGAATTTCATTAACCAATCTCAAGGACCATTTCATAATTTTCCAGTCAAACTTAAGAGTGAAAGACATACAGAAGAAAGGGGGAACGGCAATAGACAAGGAATCTTTCAAGATTCTTTGTCTTATCACCCAACCACATAGTCCATGAGCCAAATCCTGAAATGATGCCAAAAAAGGATTTTCGTAGCACCCCCTTTGGGACCGAGCTATTTGGGTACCAAATTAAAGCTCATTGACTATATTTTATGAATTCACTTGTTGCCCGGCTGGCAACTTGCACGTTAAGCAGATACAGCGGCGTTTTTAACGGGGGGAGGGTGGGGAGCATTTTTCTCTTATAGACATCTGTATTATTAGAAAACAAATAACTTTGTAAGTGCCGATCAAATATGGATAAAAACTAGTATTGCTTCTAGACAAGTTCATATTTATTACATTTAATGTTTGTATTTACACTACAGATTGCCATGGCAAGGGTCACTATGGAAATCCTTAGGTCATTTGCGAAACACCATTTCTCATTGTTGTTGTTCCTATTTTAAATCAAATTATCCAAAAAATAATGTATAGTGGTAACAAACTAAGTGACTATAGCGTGGTTTTCATTTTAACCAAATTGATAGCCGTTTACCTGTACAAAGCATCCATGCTCTTTTTATGTAGGGGTGGGTCGTGGGCAGGGCAACGCCCTACAGAGCGCTAAAAATGCCCCAAAACGATTGTTTTCCAAAAATTGACCATTTTTACGACTCACTTTTACGTCATTTGCTGTAGACGTAATTTTACAGCTGCTATAAGAGATAAACTACCTTGCCTTTTTGTTGCCATGGAAATGGTTACTGGTAAAATAGGCTCAAGTAACAAACCAGCTTTTTTCTACACATCCGTGTTTAAAATAGTGCGACCCATTTGAAGAACCTGAAGAGCTTGTCAGCCTTAGCTCTGGATGTACATGTGCTGCACGCGAAAGCGGCGGGCAGGTTTGGCTCACTGCAAAAAAAGAAGAGAAAAGAAGCTTTTACAACTTTTGTGGAGGACAGATTGTTATCAACCTCCAAGTGTTTCTTTGACGCACTTTCTAAGTTGAAGTTGGACAATTTTAGCAATGTTAAGAAGTCGTCGTTGTTGTCTAAGGAAGGAAAGTCTGTCATTTTTAGAGCAGACAGAAATCTCTTTGCACGATGCTAGTTTTAGGCCAAAGTCGGAAAGTGGATTTGTGAGAGTTGTTAGTGCACAAGCTTGGCCCTCTTCCCTGGTCACTGGCTTCATCTGATGGGTCCTTGGCAAAAACCAATAAAGCTGCTCTTCCCAAACTTCTTGAGGACGGTGTTGACAGCCTCCAACATCTACCAGCTCAAACGTCAGCAGTCATCATGGATGCAATGGTAATACTACAGATCCTCAGAAAGATTCCAGACAGATTTTCTGACTTGACACAGATGGTGTTCAACAGAATCTTGTTGCAAGCTGGAGAGGCAACAAAGGTCGACTTCGTAGGTGATCAGTATCCTGAAATCTCAATAAAAAACATACGAGAGAGAAGAGGTAGTAGTAGCCAACTAGCTATTAACATCACTACCAACAGTTGTGCCCACGGCAATGGAAAAAATTTATGTCCACTGGTAGCAATAAAGAGGGTCTGCTGAACGTTCTTGTCCATGAATGGTCAACCAACCAAGCTTATGCCAAGAAGATTGGAATCTGTGTATTGTACGTCACTCATGGAAACAGATGTACCAAACTTAATGCCTTTGAGGGTGGAATGACCCCAACAGATGCTGTGGATCTTCATAGTACTCAGGAAGAGGCGGATACGTGGATGTTTCTTCACGCCTTCCATGCTTCCGCAGATGGACATCACAGCATTAATATTGCAGTATTTTCATCAGATACAGATGTCGAAGTACAGGCAAGCCAACATCAAGCAGCCATTCCTGCGGAAATAATACTGATAAGCGGCACAAGGAGTAGATCGCGTTTAGTAAGCATTAGGCAATTCTGTAAAAAGCTTGGTCGTAGAATATGTCAGGTTCTTCCAAGTTTGCATGCTTTGACAGGCTGTGATACTGTCAGCTCGCTTGTTGGAAAGGGCTAGAAAAAGCGCTCAAACTAGTTAAAGATGACCAGATTGCAAGGGAAACCGTCCAAATCCTTGGTGAGACCATTCCACTAGGTTAGCGCGACATCATCAAGCTAGAGAAAGTAGTTTGCAAGTTGTATAATGAACACCAATGTGACCGTGTCGATGAGCTGCGTTGTAAGATGTTTTGTAAGATGTGCTCTAGATCCCCAGTCTCCTGACATAGGACCGGAAAATCAAGGCTGGTAGCTGAGGGACGGTCAATTTGAGATGTATGGACTGTCCTTGCGCCCGCTCAAAAAGCTGTTATGGAGTTAGTTTCCTGTGGTTGCCACGGCACTTGCCTAACAAGACGTTGTTCTTGTGCCAACAATGGGTTGCCTTGCACTGAAGGGTGTTGCTGTTCTGGCCAATGACCAACAGAGTAACAGGCCTGGAGGATGAGGATGATGACGGTGACGAAGAATGAGAGGATAAGTAATACGCCTCAAAGAACAAAGAGCAATTCAGTGATTTTGCTGGCCTCTGTTAATGAATATTGGTTGTCATGGCAGCAGAAAGATAAGCTCGAGTTACAAAAGGATTGTTATAAAAAGACCACATGTTGGTAAAATACCAGTTGCAACCCTTTAAGAAAAAACTGGAGTCTCTACTGCAAACCCGAGGAAAGTACATTTAAGCTTCATAGACATATAACACTACAATTAGAGTCGAGCTAAGGGACAACTAGGCTTTATTTGGTCTATATTTCTTCTTTGCGATATTAATAATCTAAGTCAAAACAAGTCATTATAGAGTTAAAGGAACAGGATCCCGTTACTGTGCATGCACCAAACTTTGATTTTCAGACAGGATGTCGCGAAAATCAAACAATGCGAGGAGAGTAAGAGAACCTTAAAAAATCCGTTTGCATCGCGCTTCTCACATCTTCTTCTCGCATCGTCTCAGGATTAGAGATCAGTGATATATTGTTCTCATTAAGTTTCAATTTGAGCGAAATCGGGATTTTTTGGCAGTACTTTTATTATTGTTGGTCGGAGGACCAAAAGATGGGAAGCCCTTTGGTGCCGATTGAAACTTATTTCTTCTACCAGCTTTCATACAAGCTCAGATAATTGTGAAAGGATTACGCAGAAATAAAACAGCAACAAAAAAGACTGTAAGAAAGAAACCATTGGGACATTGATGTGACTGAGGAGATCTGGAATTAAGCTTGGTGAAGCAGAATGTTTTGGAACAACGCGTTAGTAAACTTTACTCCCTAAGGCCGACAAAGTCCAACAAACAGGCGCTACATCTTTAGACAAACTAGTGCAATGAAATCATATTATAGTTTTTGACTAATCTTTGTGATGGTTCATAGCGTTGAGATTGCATTTTTATTTATATCTTTCAAATGTTCGAGGCTAGAACGCGAGCAAATCAGGCAAATATTACTGGAATTGGAACAACTGACCTCTGACACGAGTTTCATATTAGAAAAGCTGTTTTTAAAGCGAGCGGAAAGAGATTTTCGGGTTGTGAGGAGGCCCTGTTAGCGATAAAATCACGATGAGTCTTCGTGCTGCGAGCGAAATTTTAAATAGGACTTTTTTGAATGTCTAAAATATTACTTGAGAATGTAAACAAATCTCCGTCAGTGGTGTGGTCCGGAAGAAAATCTTGTCAAGTCAGTTCTATTGTCTTTTGAAGAAAAAACAGATGACACTTGCGTGTGCACATAATCCGGACACTGTTCCTTTAAAGGACGGAATTGAAAAGGCTATTTTCCCATATCACCGTTGCCATGGCAACCTAACTGCGAGTTCATTTACATATGCAAAACGTTTAAGCTCATGTCTCTCGCAAATGACGTTAAAATGAGTCGTAAAAATGGACATTTTTTGGAAAACATCGTTTTAGGGCATTTTTGGCGCTCTGTTGGGCGTTGCCCTGCCCACCTACCCACTACTCAAAAAAAAAACATGGATGCTTTGTTAAGGTAAACAGCTACTAATTTGGTTACAATTAAAACCACGCTATAGTCACGTAGTTTTTTTTTTACCACCATATATTGTTATTTTGATAGTTTGATTAAAAATAGCAACGAAAACAATGAGAAAATGGTGTTGTACAAATGACCTAAGGATTTCCATAGTAACCGTTGCCATGGCAATCTGCAGTGTAAATGCAAACATGAAATGTAATAGATATGAACTTGTTTTGAAGCAATACAAGTTTTTACCGATATTTGATCAGCACTTACAAAGTTATTTGTTTTGTAATAACACAGAAGTTCATACGACAAAAAATGCTCCCCACCCCTCCCCCCCCCGTTAAAAACGCTCTCTTATCTCCTCAACGCGCAAGTTGCCAGCCGGGCAACAAGCGAATTCATAAAATATAGTTAATAAGCTTTAATTTGCTACCAAAATTACTCGGTCCCAAAGAGGGTGCAACGAAAATCACTTTTGGGGGCCTTAGCTCAAGGACTAACACTCTGTTCTAACTGTACGCCTTAACCTTAAGCCCACGAATTTCTTTTATTATTGATGAATTTGCATGTGTGCAAGGTAAAGAAAATCCTGTCACCCGATTTGCTACCCGAGCAGGCAATATTGGCGTACCTTAAAATGAGAACCATTTTCTCCAACAACGTTTCAACAGCAGTTCAGCCAAGCCCTTTCTATTTAATGTGAAAAAAATTTTGATTAAGTAAACTGCTATAAGCAGTGTGATATGTATGCTACTTGGGTGCTGTCACTGTGAAAATGAGCCAACGATGGGTGATGCACAGGACCTGATCCAGAAAAAAAAAGAGGATATGTTTTAGGGGTTAAACATTCAACCGACCGCTTGTAATATTTCCAAAAATACACTGTGGATGGTTTAAACACTTGTTCCTCACAAAAGAAACAATAAATAAAAAACTAATGAGATTGATTGGCCCTACCCCCTTGGGCTAGTGGTCAATAAACCCCTGTAATAAAGATTAAAATCCCTGCGCAGCATATTTACTTAATGTTAATTTGAAAATTGTAAAATCGAAACTGCTACTTCAAAAGAGTCTTAACCTTAACGTAAGTTAATTGATGATTTCGGACAATTGTGAGTCAGACTTAAGTGCGAGTTAATTGCCTTACAAAGTTAACTCGGGGACTTTTAACTTTAAAAGCATGCATTGGTAAAATATTTGTATTGGCCCTTTTCGCCTATCCATAAAGTATGAAATTCAAACAAAAAAGTTGCATTTGTTTCACCTTTGACATACCTGTGTTGACATGGCGCGTGAATCGCAGATAAAATTGACTACACCATTTGTCATGCTTTTGAATTGAATCTTACTCCCATTTTACGACACCCTTACAAAACCTTTGATTACAAACCGAGACATTTGAAAACACCTTTCTCAAACCTTTGTCTTGAATATCACATCTACTTGATGACACCTTTGTGGAACCTTTGACTTGCCTCTCAGACACATAAGAGACAGATTTAATATCTTGGCAAGAAAATTCAAGGAAAACTTGTGAAAAAGAGAGAGAAAATGGTGGAGGCGAGGTGCTGAAAAACTATTCTAAAAAGCTGGTGAAGGTGTTAATTGCTCTCAATGATGAATCGGAGAAGACAAGTAAGGACCAAAGTGAGGTAAAGAGGAAGGCTGTTCTAAATGAAATGAACCAGGCATTAGAGGTGACAGACAGGGCACTTGAAACGCTGGGAGAAACAAGAAAGAGAAATGAAGAGGAGAGGGCAGAAGAAAAGAGACAGTTGTAAAAAAAGAGATCAGGAGGAGACATGCTTGAATAGCTAAGGAAAGGGCAGAGCCAGACTTAGAAGTCAAGAAGCAGCAGACAAAAGAGAAGAAGGAAGAAAGGACAGCTCTGGAAGCTATGAGGGAGGAACAGCAGAAGCAGCAGCAGATTTTGCACGTTTGGCAGCAACAACAGCATTAACAGCAGTAGCAACAAAATAGACAATGTGGATCGCTGCGACAACAATGGATGGCAATGCTCCATCAACAACAAACACAGGCTCTGTTGGCTTTCCTTCAAAAAAAGAATTAATCTACAAAAATGTAAATTTATATACAAATTGATATTAAATACACTCCTTAGTTTTGGAGCTTTACATGTACATAATAATTATAATTTTCCACTTGATTAATTTAAACAGTCCTCAAATATTGTTGAATTTCAGTGTTGTACATGTTGCGCATTTTCCATTTGTTATGTGGACATAGCCCTAGATAAGCTTGTAAGAATTTTTCACCACATTAAATGTTACGATCAAACATTGATACATTGATCAAGTGGTTCTTAATAAAACACACTCAATATTTTTTTCCAGTCTCCTAGCCCTTGCACTCTTAAATACCATAGAGTGGTATAAATTAAAGAAAACCCCACAGTTTTGGTTTTTAATTCTGATAAAACAACAAATAATACTCTGAAAGCATAGGTAATGCTGAACAGGTTTTTGTCTGATAAGTAACATGGAAGGATTTTATCTACATGCTCAAACGTTAGAGCTACACGAGGCATATCTGTAAAGCTAATTTCCCAGTGACCCTTGGGCAAATAATGTATGCCAAAAAAAGATACGCAGGTGAAAAAAAGGTTTTGAGCACCTACTTGTAACTAATGTTTGCTCAGCCAATGACCTCTCTTCCACCCAATATATCCACTTCTGGGTCTCCAAGGACGTACTAATCTCTTAAATGTCATTCTGATTTTAATAGTTAGGCCCAGGGCCATCTAACAAATGTCCCACTTACTTTTCTGGTCAGAGGCCAAATTAAAATCGCCCCAAGCGAGAAAGGCGAGACTCCCTCCCTTCTCACGTGGGGTGATTTTCACACGCACTTGAGCTCGCTCGCTTTACTATCCCTGAGGAAAAATGGAGACTACTCGTAGTCCAACTCGTAGTCCAACCCATAGTCCAACCAGTCACCCATTACGTTCACTAACTGAGAGTTTATTTTTAGAATATTACATTTAAAACAAATAGTGAACTATCTAAGGGCCTGTTTACGA